GAACAAGGTTTCCTTGAGAAGATTGGTGACTGCTTTAGGTCTGGGTGGAACTGGTTCAAAGAAATTTTCAATAGTGGCAGAGATGATTGACAAGATGGAAATAACCACTCACAAGGTGACTCGTAAAACCATAGTTTACTAGAAATTTAGATTAGTCTGATATTGATATGTACACATGTAGCAGAGAATTAGAAAGTATCTTTAAAAAAAAGCGTCAAATTGGTGGTCACAGTGTTAGATTGTTGCAAGATTAAGGTGGTGCTGAACCTTCACTACAGTAGTGAAAAAACTTTACAGAAAATTGAATCTTGGTGTTTGCCATTTGCACACATGGTAAAAATTAACTTTTATTTTGCCAATATTCATGTGTCACTGCTGAAGTGAGCTTATACACAAACAGGCTTCTCTGATCAATCTCATAATCAGTTAAACTGAATTAAATTCATCAACTGCAATAGGTGCATTACCCAATAAAAATATTTGCATGACTTGCTTTTTGGCAGCAACAACTATAACTGTTCTTAGCTGAATCCCATGTTTTTCCTAGCAAAGATTTCTCATCTAACAGTTCTACACCGACACTTTTGAACTTTGGTTCGGCTAAAAATTAAGAATTTGTGGCCTGCTACCAGAAACATAGTTTGCCTCAATCCCTTTTTTCATAGATAGTCTTCACTTGTGGAGATTCAATGAATTAAAAGAGGAAGTGTTATCATTCAAAACTCTGAACTCTTTCAAGCTCTGATATCAACTTCTTTAACCTCATTACCAGTGTAAATGAAAAATATCTCTTAATTTTTTTAACATTTTCCTTTGAAAAGAATGCTCCATCCTCAAGCAAACTCAGGGATTGAGTTTCCTTTGGTCAAAGTTAGGAATTTGGGAACAATATTTGACTATTCAATTAGTATGAAAACTCATATAAATCAAGTTTGTAAGACCACTTTTTACCATATTTACAATATTCGTAGAATTTCTTAATACCTTTCACAGGAATCCCTTAAAACATTAGTTCATACTCTCGTTACGTCCAGACTCAATTATTATAATAGCCTACTTTACAGCCTCCCCAAATATCATATAAGTAAACTACAACGTGTACAGAATGCTGTAGCCAGATTAATAATGAACATTAGATAGTATGATCATATCACATCAGCTTTATATAACTGTCACTGGTTACCTGTGTTTT